TTTTTCAAGTAAATATACTTAAAAACAAGAATATAGAAAAAGAATAGAAAGAGAAAGTAACAAAGAAAAAAGTATTCATCCAAGGCCAAATAGTCAAAGTCAACTGAGTAAGCTGAAGCTGCTATAAAGCTACTAAAAAAAGTTAGCTTACTTGAAATAAATAACTGGCGATTATTCTAAAAGTATTAACACCAATGAAGTTGAACTCACAGTCTGAAAAATATATATATCTTAGAACAAAAGCAAGTGAAAAGGCAATTAAGACAAGAAAAATTTGCAAGAAACTATAGCTAAAAGAAAAAAAAAAGTATTAGACAAGAAAAGTTTTTAACATAAAGAAATAACAGAAAGAAATAGTACCAAGGAAGAAAGAATTGTATATATAAAAATTAAAAAAATGAAATATACAGAAAACACAAATATAAATAAAATTTGAACAATAAGATAATTTTTCTCATCTTAGAAAATTATTACATAGCATAAATAAAGAAAATCATAACAATAATAATATAATTTATAGATTTAGAAAAATAAGAAACAAATCAGAGCATAGAAGCTAAATTTAGATAGACAAAAGGTGAAGTTCAGTAGATCTCACAAATTTTAAGAAAAGAAAGGACAAAGAAATGTAAAAATAAATTAAGCTAAGAAATTTTGTCAAGTTTTGCCAAGCTATGGCTGAAACAAATAAAAACATATGGGAAATACAAAACAAAACACATATAAACAGATTGCAGCATGTGGAAAATGCAAAGAACAAGTATAGATTAAATAAAATAAAAAAGATATTTCAACTCTATAGCATGAACAACCACTTTAACAAATATTTAAAGGCTGAAAATTCATCCTTTTTAACCCTAACTCAAACTACTTTCACATTAATACCTTGAATAATCTAATAATTATCACTCCAAAATTTAATTTAAAATAACCACTCAACTAACTTGGATACACTTCTAGATCTACCAAAAAGCATATGAGTTACAACAATTCTGTACCAAGTTACAATATATAGAGACTACTATTGTTAATCTGAACAGTACAATAATTATACAGAATACAAATCACATATGCAGTATTTATGCAGATCTCAACAACCAAATTACTTCTTTTAGTAATTCAATTGAGTTTATAAAGGCAGATCTTATACCTCATGGGAATGACCAAATATTTCCAGTATCTGTATCTACAGAACCTAATCTAAACAAGTACTTTGCCAACCTTTTACACAAATACAAGAAAGCCACAAATTGGAAAAACTATAATCAAATTTATGCTTTAGTATATGCCTTTTATATAGGAGTATTATTGTGGTATTATAAAAATAATATCAAGACTACAATTGAAAGAACCCAGACCAGACTTACAAATAGGTATTTTACTTATTTTAGAAGTGAGGATATGATCATATTTATTGAACAAGTTATATCAAAGTTAAGAACTTTAATGATATTAATATGCAGGATTTTAATACCCTTATAATTTTTTATAATAGTCTAAGTTTAGATTTTATGGAGTAAAATCTTAAAGGGAGAAAAATATTACAAAGTAGGTTATAACATAGAGTAATACTAGCATAGCATAGTATAAGAAATATTCTATTATTATATTATTTATCATATTATTATATTATAGTATTATAGTTATTAATAGTCATTATTATTATATTATTATTATTATATTATAGTATTATAGTTATTAATAGTTATTATTATTATATTATTATTATTATATTATTAGTATTAGATTATTAGTTATAGTTAATTATATTTAGAATAAAGATGATTCTATTAAGTAATAGAATAGAGCATAATAATACTGCAGCTAGGTAAAATAGTACACAATACAAGTGCTTCCAAGTGCCTCTGCACAAGTGCCTTCATGTGTCTCTGCACAAGTGCCTCTGCAAAAGTGTCTCCAAGTACCTCTAAGTGTCTCTAAAATAGTGTCTCTAAATGCCTCTACAACAGTGCCTCCGAGTGTCTCTACTATAGTATCTTTAAGTGTCTCTATTATAGTGCTTCTAATTGCCTCTATATGATTAAGCAATTATACTATTACACTTCTGTCTGTAAAAAAGGTATAAAAAGAAAACCTTTGTTCCTTTTGCCTAAGTCAGAATTTCTATACTTTCACAGAGAGTTCACTACTCTCATAGAGAGTTTTTTTTACTTCTATTGATAGTTTTCTATTCTCTTATAGAATCTAGCTCTACTCTTTTACTCTTCTTTATTTGTAAAGTGTAATATTCCCTCTCTAGAGTAATTTTTACAAGCAAGGTTATCACCATGAATCTGTTATTAATAAATATTATTATCTATAAAATGTAATTATCTCAATCTATTTGCTTTCTGCTATGAAGTTAAAGTATACACTTTATGTCTACTACATGTATATTCATAAAGTATATTACTATACCAGATGATCTTGTTACTTTGCTATAATTATACTAAGAAGGCTATAGTATTGTAACAATACTAAAAAAAAAAAAATTAAATATAAAAAATATATAGCTACAATTTTATATAATAAATTTTATATTACTTTAATTTATAATTTAAAAATATAATAGCCAAATTTTAAAATTTCAAAACTTAATAAATAAAAAGAGAAAAAAGCTATAAATAAAATAAATTTAAAATTTAAAATAAACAAAAGATTTATTTTTTCAATAAAATTAAAAAAAAATCCAGAGCAAATAAAAAATTTAAAAATATATACTTTTTTAATAATTTTAAAAATTAAAATACAGTAAGTAATCTAGATGAGTCTTGACCACTCTAGTAGGTTTAGGTCGCAGATAACTAATTTAGCCCCCTAGCTGAGTTTTTAGTCTGAGCTCCCATTCTTGCATGTAATTTATATTTTTTGTTATTATACAAATGAAATCGTTCTATGTAACTATTTATATAAACTACTCAATAAAGATACGAGCAAGGCCTCACCTTAATACCAAAAAAAAAAAAATAAATATATACTTAGTTGACCCCATATGCAAATGTAATCGAATGATTTTTTTTTAATAAATTAAAAATGATTTGGCTTTATATGTTTTTTTTTTTTTTATAGATAGAAATATGGCTAAAAGTTCAATTGCAAAAAAATTTATATACTGTATTTAAATGGTTTTTGAAAGTCCTATTATCGCGGTTTTCAAAATGGTTAAAAATTGCAAATAAAATTTTTTTTTGACGAACACTCAACGCTCGATTACCTTAGCACGTTGATTCTCGATTTTGTTGTAATTGTTTATAATTGTTTATCAAACAATAGTCATGCGAGTGTTTGAATGTTCGAGTGTTCGTCAAAAAAATTTATTTGCAACCTTTTATTAAAGAAATTTTAACTTCTAAAAAAGATTTCACACTAATACGTACGTACTGTACATAAACTTAAAAAAATTTAATCAATCAGATTCAATCTTATGAGTAATGATCATTAACGTAAATAATTTGATGTGAATAGAAAATATTTTTGACAAAAGGCAAAACTAGGTATAGCCTTTCGTCCGTTTTCAAAACACGAATATAAAAGAATTAATTTATAAAAAATTCCACTAGACATTAAGTGGGGTCTTACTAAAATTAACTATATTGTCAAATATAACCCTAACTTAAAGTTCACTCGAAAATTTTTAAAAGTTTCATATTTAAAAATAGGTCATCGACCGTTTTTACTATCAGCAATGGTATTTAAGTTATTTCGACTATTTTTTTCTCTCTAAAATGAATATGACAACTGCTGAGTTCTAATTTCTGGAATAGATAAATAATAATTACTAGCATTAGGTTAGAAAATATATATTGATGTTATAGATACTGTTAGGTTTAGGTTATCTTAGATAATCTTTATATATACGTAATAAATAATTCTGCATAGTTGGACTGTGCCCTGACGTTGTACGTACGTACGTAGTACATACGGATAATTTTTATGAGGAATAATCAAATAATGACAAATTATGATGCGTAACGGTAACATGAAATTTATTATAACGCCGCCATAGATATTTTTGGAAATCCTTTTGACAGTTATTTGTACTACCGTTATGAAGATGAGATTAGATGAACCATAGCGATAAATGACGTTATAATTATGTAATAACAAATTACAGCCACAATAATATCTATGTGTATATACGTACGCGGAGTGCGCCAGGGCGACCACCAAAAGTTCGATCAGATGATAAGGCGCCACAGCCACATAATTTCTTCGAAAATTGTTGAATCTACATACCGATACCGATACAACTTTATTGTTGTGAAAATTTCTTATGTAACAAAACAATACGTATACTGGTTGTTAAGATATATATGGCTGTGGCGTCTTATCACCTGATCGGACTTTTGGTGGTCTCCCTGGCGCACTCTCTATGTATATACGTACGCGCGCCTTACGCGCACGTCTTCACAATGTTTACACAAAAAATTTTAGAAGCAATTTTTCGGATTTATCTCTTTAATGTCAATAATATTAACGATATATTTTGATAAATATAGTGACATAATAATATCAAGTTATTATTATTGACAAACGGTATTATTGTAATTATTGTACTTCATTACATTTAATGTATTAATCGATTATTTTTCAGAGCATAATAATAATTTTCTAATTACAGTAATATCAAAAGAAAAGATTAGATTAGCGCACAATTTTTTGCAAACCTGAAATTTAACTAAATGTAACAAAGACTATTAAACAAACTAGAGGCAACACTGTAACAACAAGATAAATCAAAGTGTTATTATATTATAGCAACGAATGGCGTAATACGCGTTGTAGATAGTATTTATTCAAATTATATAAAATCTCCTAGCTTATTTCTACTTTACATTTCTAACTATTACAATTCTAACTATTACATTTCTAACTATTACATTTCTATTTTAACATTCATATACTGTAGATGTTAAAATTTCTTATTTTTATTTATGAAGACCAAATTTTATTAAATCTAGAAGAAATGAAGCTTTGGAAAAGTATCGAGCTTTATCTTATTAAAGTACCCTATCAATATTTTTAAAATGATGATGGGAATGTGTAAATGAATCATCTTTTTTGAGTTTGTGTTCACGAAAATAAGGATATTTATGCTTATATCCGCCCCAATAGCCACCATGGAATGGAACGTCGTAGTCACAATCATCGAAATACGAACGTTCTGATAATTGAGAGCTTCCTTCAGGTAGAGGACTTGCAGAAGTCGAGAGAATAAATCCAATGAGGATAAGGCCTAATGCGATTGCGATGAAAGAACCGGATTTTTTGGCATACATGGTTGATGATAAAATACGTGGAGAGAGAATAGATAAAAGATTTAAGCAAGATCTGGTAAAGATTTATTACAATTATCACAATTTGATAACTGAAAGAAATGAATCTTTTGAGACGAATGAAGAGATCTGTTGGAACTGAGACTCTTTTATAAGTTTTTCAAATATATAGAAGCAATTGTTTCTATTTTATTTTTTTTTAACATTGTTAAAAAATGAAATAATAAAAATTTTCAATTTAAAATTACGCATATAATTGTCTTTTTTTTTTTTTTTTCAGGGCTTATAATTTTGGGAGTTCAAAATTCGTTTCAAATTACTTTAGTAAATATATAGTAAATATATAGTAAATATATAGTAAATATAGTAAATATATAGTAAATATATAGTAAATATATAGTAAATATATAGTAAATATATAGTAAATATATATAGTAAAATATATAGTAAATATATATTTATTAATATATTGTAAATTAATAAAAATTATTAATTTTTTACCAAGTTAGTAATCATTGCGAATAGTCACAGATCTCCCGAATCTAGGGTTGTGTGAATATACGGAGGCCATGCGTAAGGATGAAAGGGTAACTAATTTATTAATTATAACAACCAGTTTTAACGCGTATTTCGGAAATTTATTAACTTAAACATGTGATCATACGAATGAGGGCATTTGAAACTTGATTGAAAAATTGAAAATGAAATATAGCTCACAGCTATCCTGCTTTTATATACAAGTTACCATACACAAATTCTGAAATGAATGACAATTGTATATTAATTTTCAAATAGTGAGATTTTTTTATCCTTCTTTGAAATCATATTCAACTTTAAGCAAACCAATCCCTGATATTGTTAGTATTGAGCGTTTATTGTTCAAATCTAGTTTTGTAATTCTGCAATTTTAAATGCATTTTTATGCGATATAAAAAATTTTGACTATGCAAAAAAAAATTAGGGAAGATAAAGGGGATAAATATATTTATATTAATATTGATTAAATTCCGATTTAATATAGCCATATAATAACAACAATAATTAGACACTCCATGCTTAATTGTTCGAAATTTTTTACATATTATTTATTACGTGATATTAATCATATTGTAATTTGCACGAATAGTTACATTTCTGCATTTAGCGATGGGAATTTCTAATTATTAGCAATTGTTAACAAATTGTTAACTATATAAATCATTTAACAATTAAAAAATTTATATAGTTAACAATTTGTTAACAATTGTTAATAATTAAAAATTCACATCACTAGTTACATTAAAATAAATAAATTTATTACGCATTTTATGTGTTTAAAATGTAATTGCACAAGTCTGGACACTCTTTGAGGATTCGTTTGTAAAAATTAAAAAAATTGCTAGACGTAGGATCTAAATCATTATTTTTTATTGGTGCTTATTTGTTTTAAAAATACTAAAAAGAGAAACTTATTTTATTTTTCCGATTTATAATTCAACATAGTAAAAATGCTATTTATTTTCGAAATGCGTCACTTATTTGTTAACCCCCAAATACTAAAAATACGATAGAACCATTGTTAAAGAACCCCATCCACATCGTATGTTTGTTAAGCTTGCGAAGGAACAATTTATTTTCATTAAACTGGTTTTTTATATGCAATAAATTATAAACTTATTTTATAATTGTGGTTTAAATTTATTAAACTCAACGCTATCAGTTATTCTGGAATCACAAATTATATATTAATAATGAAATTATAATAAATAATTCACGATAAGAATTCAAAAAAAAAAAGGCATCCTTAATTTTATTATTCTGTTCACAGACCAGAAAAATTAATTCTGCGCAGAGGTTTGCCCCTGCAATTCCCTGAACACTCTAATATAATATCCCTAGAAATGTAAAATCTAATAATCTTTTTTTTTTTGATTGGTATTCGAGTATACAGTTAGTATACAGTACAACGGGTACTCTTATTTTGCATATTGCTACGCTCCACAAGGGAGTGCATTTTTATCTCAATGATTAACGATCTCATCTAATTATTTCTGTATTTATGCAATACCGATACCATTATCATTGATTCACCTGCAATCAATTCACCTGCCGAAATCACAATTTGCTAAAAATATATATAACGATAATACCTGCAACTAATCGAATGATGCATAACCCTAACCCTATGTGATGTCAGCTAAATGGGTCTGTTGGTGAATTGATTATTGATGAAGCAGCATCGAACGTGATTCAAGTACGTACGTACACGTTTTCGTCCAGTTTTTATTTTTTTCTCACCATCGTTATTCTTATTCTTTCTTTCTTTATGTGTCTCGCGACTCTTCTTCTTTGCAATTTGCAGATGAAAACGGTATTAATGGCAAGAATATTTCTGAAAGTGTATTTTTAAGAAATTAGTACGCGAACTTGCACAATCAGTCAATGTCTGCAGTAATGATACAAATCGAAAATAGAAAATCGAACAATTGATTAATTGACAACCAATCGATTGAAACTTACAATTAAAAATCGATTATAAAAATATAATAATCGGCTATCCTTTACGTTTAAAGTTGATTCCTAATCCCCTGATCCGATTTCACTGATCCAATTTCACTGACACGAGATTGTGTCCATTTTTACACATACAAAGCAGCATTGTATTCTTACATAATTTATTCTTTGAATAATATGAATGATAATTATTTTACATAATAATCAAAAAAATTGCATCGGTCAATTTATTACCGAATCCTTTATTCTATAAAGAGAATCAAATAATTACATCGACCAAACCCTTTATTCTAATACATAACTTTATTGCATGGGTCTTATGTGACAACCCGTGCTTTTTTCATTTACTTATTGGCACGGGATTGTTACGTCAGACATCGTGCAATAACTATAAATTATTGGTTAAAAGGTTTTAATTATAGATATATACTACTAAATTAGTCTTGGACATACTACGTTCTTCAATAAATTTTCCTAAATATGCTGCACGTGTTATAGAAACGACTAGAACAATCGGCTGTATACCAATAAAGTAATACGTTTTCGTCATTGTAATTATTGTAATTCTGTAATTTCAGGGGCCGAGTCCGATAAGGTGAATATTTGGTTAATCAATTTTACAAGTTTCGACTTTTCTTTTCAACGAGATTTATCCGGAACACGAAAATAATGAAATTCACCACTTATAATTAAAGTTGGAATTCCATGAATGTAAAGGCAGTATTTATCATAATTAAGAATATGACCATATTTATTTTTGTCATAAGCACATTCAACATTGGTGATAGGTAAACTACCTTTACGAGATTTAAGAAGCCACACATAAAAAGCCACTAAACCGGCTGGAAGAACTGTTAAAAGAGCAGCAAGTTCCGTAATAACCATTTATTTAAAAGAAATTTTTTATAAGAGAGAGAAGATTGATTAACAAATCTTGAAAACAATTTCGGCGCAAAAATTACTTAAATACTAAGTACACAAAAAAACAAAAACAGAAATTGAAAAAAAAAAATCAACCTTAATTATTATTGGATAATAAATATTAGTAATTGATTGGTTGATATGGTTGAATGGTGGTCCAGTTGAAAATTATTACGCTTCAGGTCATATTTTATATAATGCTAGATTTTCAAGTAATTATTCATCTAGTAAAGTATATTTATCTATTAACATGAGACATAGATGTACTATATTTGTTAATGGTAGATTCGTTGGTGGTCATACAACTTATTCAAGACAACTTTTCTTTCCTGGATCAAAGTTTGGTCCTGAATTATTTAAATATTTAGGAGGTGAAAAATACGATATAACTCAATTTCTTCATCCAAATGGTGATGAAGAAAAAAATTCGTTAGTAATTTTAGTAGAAAATTGGGGAATAAGTCGACAATCTGTAATATTTAACGATGTAAGAAATCCTAGAGGAATAATTTCTGCAAATATTGATGGATTAATTAAAGAAACTAAATTAAATTGGAGTATTTGTGGGGTTGATTTACGTAAATTAGATAATCCTTTTAATACTAGTGGAATACCTGATGAACATAAAAATTTTGATTGGAAAGAAAATGAAAAAGGAATTATTGGTTATGGTGTTATACCTAACGATGGAATAAAATGGTGGAGTTTTAGATTTTCTCATCCTATGGAAAGTAAATTTAAAGATATATTAAATGCTCCTTTAAGATTAGTACTTTATGGTTCGTTTACTTCTTATATATTTTTAAATGGTACATTAATTGGAAGGTATTACGGGAATGGTGATTGTGCTCAACATGATTATTATTTAATGGATGGATTATTAAAATTCGGAGATGAAGAAAATCAAATTACTATGATGGTATATTCATGGGAAACTGTTAATCCCGAAGAAATTATTGTTGAAGTTAGAGGATGGGAAATTGATGATGTTAAAAAAACTGGAAATATAATTAAACCTAAAAAAGGCGTAGACGAAGATATTGACGAAGTTAAACCTTGGATTGTTAGAAAAGAACATATTCCTTTAACATGATAGATAGATACGTATACTTCTTCATGTTATTTATTTATTTTTTATATATTATATTTATGATTTATTTATGTCATTTTTTGTGAGATTATATTATTATTGCATAATTAAAATTATACATATTTTAAACGACGTAAAAATGTCACTTTTAAACGTATGACCAAGTGCCAATTCCCTTGAAATTAGATCCAACACGAATAAACATGGTTTGTAAACTCTGAATCCTTTCTTGGTTCAAGTCCCAACGTCTGCAAAAATAGGCAGACACGTTTTTTATCAACATAGTTCAACCAAATATTTAATTAAAATGTTGCGCGTGGCTTTCATATCTTTAGTTTACAAAGATCACAATGAAAAATCTTTTTACCCCCAAACTTATTGTACGTCTTGGAGGTATACATCTCATTGCATACGTATTATGACTTGACAATTTTTGATAACACTTTTACTAAGTTACAAATTTTTCTATTATTTGATACATATTTTTTCATAGCCAATACTGTTTGTTTATATTCTTGTACACTCTGATACGTACAAATTGTATTTTTTTGCTAAATGAAATAAACATTCCATATTCATACATCCCTATTAAATTACCTTGTCTTCTGGATTATAAGCTAATATAAATATTTATAAACCAGGGTCCAATGAAATAATTTTAAGTTTGAATGTTTTCTTCTCAATAGTGGTCCTATGAACCGAACTGAAACCGAACTTAGGTTAAGTTCAGGCTCAGCTCGAATTTTGAACCGAACCTGAACTGAACTATAGTTCGAGTTCAGTTCGACATCGAACTTTTGAGCAAGTTCGAGTTCAGTTCAGGTTTAGTTCGAAATTTCATGAACTTGTTCGGGTTCAATATACTCTTTAACAGGTTTCCTTGAAATTTTTCTCCGACAATCCCTTTTACCAACACAATCCCCGACAATCAATTCCCCAACACAATTACCCGAAAGACTCAGCGTGTAGGGCGTGTAGGGAGAGTTGTCCGTACACGTGATAATCAATGCATTTCTTATTGTTTATTAAATTTGCGACAAGCTTTAAGATTTTTATGA